TTTGGATTTTAGACAAAATAACAGAAAAAAGACCGAGAGGAGGGGTGGGTTATTGCATCTTCTTGACTGCAAGAAGGCCTTTTACACGTTCCCCACAAGAGATTGGTGCGAAGCTAGAGCATCAGCGATAAACGGAAGGGGCCCCGCAATGGGTCAAAATACCTGACAGGGGGGCAACAACGATCATGGTATAATGATGATCACAGTGGGGGACCGTGACGAGCGGGTCCCACAGGGTTTGGGCCTGGACCCTGCTATTTTTTGGGATATGTGAAAGACATGATGAAGGGTTAGACTCAGAAGGTCCCCCGTTTGCAGATGATGGGAAGTTTAATGAGGGGAAATTAAATCGATGAGGACCGGCAGACTTCAAAGGACCTGGGCAGACTGGGCACCTGTTCCCCAGAAATGGTTTCTCAAAATTTAACTGCCAAATCAAAGTCATGAAGATTGGGGAATGGCACAGAAGCCCCACAGAAAAGGGGTTTGGGCAGGGGGCCCAAAAGACTGAAAACCTCATCAAGGAGAAATATTTTGGGGGTGAGTATAACCCCGAGCATGTCTCAGGAAAACACATCAATAGATAATGCTGCAGCTATGGGCCCCCTGGAAAACCTGAGAACGCACCCGCCCTTTAGAAAGGAATCTTCAAGAACTGTACCCGTGATGCAGGCCCATCGGGATATGCAGCACCTTTTGGGAAACCCCCACTTGATAAAGCACATCAAGAAAACTAGAGAAAGTAAAAAGGTTGCGACAGGTTAGTTCCAGAGCAAGGGGGAAGTTATGAAAAAGTTTAAGGGGGAAATCGGCCTGACGACATGGGGACAGGAGGGGTCAGGGAAGACAGAAAACGACATAAAAAACTGCGGGAAAATAGACAAGGGCAAAGACAGGATTTTCCGGGGGGGGACACAGAAACGAGAGGCCAAATTGGAATTTAAAAGACCAAAATGAGTCAGAAAATAGTGGGGGAAGATTTCTTCAGTCCTAGGTTGTAAGGCTGGAATAGCCTAAAAAAATGCGTAGGGGAGGCAGAAACCCATACAAGTTTTAAGACGAGTTTGTAAAAGCTCATGGAGGGGAAAAGGAGGGCCCGGAAACCCGGGTGAAGAGGGGGGGCCGGGAGAAAGACTGCCCCTGAAACCACAAATAGGGATAAAATAGGGAGTCACACACACACACACACACAGACACACACACACACACAAAATATATATTTTATATATATATATATATTTTATATATATTTTTTATTATATTATATAATATATATATTATTAATATATATTATTTTATTTTTTTATTTTTTTATTTTATTTTATATTATATATATATTTTTATATATATATATTTATATATATTATATATTATATATAAATATATATATTATATATATTTTTGAAAATTTTAAAGAATTTGGGATTAAAGAAAAGGGTTTGGATGCGAAAGGGGGTCTAATAAGGTGTATGCACCGGAGAAAAGGGGGAAGCGAGGAGAGAGAGAGTTTTTGGGAGTTTTAGTGAATGTATAGGACCCTTTTTAAAACCAAGGAGAGGTAATTGTGGTAGGGACTTGAATGCTAAAATGGAGAAACTTTTAGAGAGGGTGTGGTAGGGAATTTTTTGGGGGCCGGTGTAAATATAAGGGGGCCCTTTATTGAACTTTTTTTAAGGAAAGGGGTTTTTGTTATGGGAATAATATTTTTTGAAAAAAGGATAAAATAAAATATCACTAATGATGTAGGGGGGAAATACAGTAGTTTTTTGGATTATGATTGGTGATAAAAAACTGGAGAAAAACTTCAGGATTACATGTTTATAAGGGGCCCCAGATATATCAATCCTTTCTGTTTAGCGACATAGAAAAAGGTAGAGGGATACAAGGGGAAAAAGAAGCTCAGGGAAGAAAGAGGTGAAGGTTTTTTAAAATAAAAGAGGAGGGTTAGGGGAAGAATAAAAGATTGGAGGATAGATGGGCTATGAGAGTATAGGCAAAGGGGTCGAAGAGGGATGGGGTAGGTTTAAAAAAAGTATGTTTGAGTGTTCAGCAGAAATTTGTGGTACAGGAAAGTGGGGCAGGAGGGAAAGGACGATTGGGGGAATGAATGATGAAAAGGGGGTAGTAAGGGAGAAAAAGTTAGCATAGAGAAAGTTTTTACCAAAGTAAAAGTGATGCAAGGGGAAGAGTATATGGAGAAAAGAGAGAATTTAAGGAGAGTGGTGAAGCAATGTAGAGTGGGGAGATGTTATCAACAAAATTTTGTGAAAATAAGAAAAAGTTTTGGAGTGAGATTAACAAGTTAAGAAAGCCTTGAGAACAATGGATTGTCATTAAAAATAGGAGAGGAGATTTATTAAATGGAGAGTTAGGGTTTTGGGGAAGATGGAGGGGAATATTTTGAGGAATTTGTTAAATGTTGATGAAGATAGGGAAGTGTGATTTCGTGTATAGGGCAAGGAGGAAACATCTTGTAGGAGGAGGAAGAGCGGGTTGTGAGTGTGGGGAGGTTCGTGAGGCAGTAGGTAAAATTGAAAGGGGGTAAGCAGGGATTGATGGGAATAAAGATTAGAATGTTAAAAGCAGGTGGGGATATAGTTTTGGAGTGGTTGGTGCAATTATTTATAAATGTATGGAAGAGGGTAAGGTACCTAGGGATTGGCAGGGGAAGCATGCATATTTTCCTTTGTATAAAGGCAAGGGGATAAAGAGAGTGCAAAAATTATAGGGGGATAAGTCTGTTGAGTGTTACTGGTTAAAGTGTATGGTAGAGTTATAATTGAAGAATAAGAGTAGACGGGATAGGATAGCAGATGAACAAGGAGGCTTTAGGAAAGGGGGGGGTGTTGGTGGCAGGTGTTTACATTGAAAATTAGGTGAAACGTATTTAGATAGGCTAAAGAGGTCTTTGTGGCAATGGTTTGGAAAGGTCTAGACACTATCAAGTGAAGTTGAAGTGTATGGTGTAGGAGGTAGGTTACTGAAAGCAGTGAAGAGTTTTTACGAGGATAGTGAGGCTCAAGTTAGAGTATGTAGGAAAGAGGGAAATTTTTTCCAGTAAAAGTAGGCCTTAGACAAGGATGTGTGATGTACCGTGGTTGTTTAAAATATATTTATAGATGGGGTTGTAAGAGAAGTAAATGCGAGGGTCTTGGCAAGAGGCGTGGAGTTAAAAGATAAAGAATCACACACAAAAATGGAGTTGTCACAGTGCTCTTGTGATGCACTGGTCTTGGAGATTTGAAGAAAG